GAGTGCAAGCGCATATTTCTCCACACAGCACATTTGATAACTATGAAAGAGACGAGAATGTGAAAAGTACACAAATGATAGACAACATGCCACACACATCCTCAAGAACTCAACCTGAGGGGAGAATATGATATGCTATTTTTCAGCTAATTAGATCAGAGCAGAACTGAACAGATGGAAATGTGAAATAGTTGTGGAGTGCTTACCTAAACCGTTAAAAGATATGGAGTGCTGAAAATGAGCCCAAGCTCAGCCAGGGAGCAACTGCTTCGCATGCAGAAGGTCACTGGTTAAATCTCTGGCAACTCCAGGGTAGGCATGGGAATGTGTCCTGAAACAGTGGAGCACTGCTGCCAGTCAATGTTAGACCACACTAAGCTAGATGGATTGATGATCTGAGTTGGTTTAAGGCAGCTTCTTATGTTTCTATGCATAGCAAGAGAGATGGTGGTTCTGAAAGCATGCAGTTAAAAAAAAATCCAAGTACCTCTTTTCCTCCTGAGGTAGTCATTGAATGATCCTCAGTAAGAAACATGGGGTTGTATCCAGTGTTTATCTATGAAGATTATTTAGACCCCCCCCCGTGAAATTAATGGAGATATCTAACTAAGGTTTGTTGGTTGTCTACAACCCATAGTTTCCCTTCCTGTTATTGAGTAGCTAACTAGAAGCCATTTAATTTACTTCTTTTTTTAAAGTTGTACACTTTTTAAAAAAAAAAAAAACTTTGAAATCAATTGTAGACAAAAATTAGAACAAAGTCAATATATCAGCACCATATGACAGAAACACAGTGTGGTGTTTTTTCCATGAGATGCCTTTTTCACCTATCACATTTGCCACATGTGCAGATGAGCCTCATGCTCACTTCTCATGTGAACACCATTTTATTTATTATCAACTACTGGTAAAAAAAGGTCATTGTAAAAACTGTGCAGCCTTAAAAATCCAAGGAACTATTTGACAGAGGGCTGTGGGATGCAACCAGAAATATGTGCAGCTATGTGGTGGGAACCCTTACAATAATTGCCAGCAGAAATCAGAGGAAAAAACTAACAAAATCCTTACCCTTCTTTATTTGTCCCACATTAACAAAATAGTTAGCCCAGTAAGCTGGAAAATTTGCAAAACAAAAGGCTCATGTTCTCATATGTGGTGGACCCACAAAATAGTCACAATATTTTTGAGTAAGACCCTTACAAAGATATCTGAACTTATTGATCAAAATGTAAACTCTGATACTAGGCTAGCTTTATGCTTCATGTTTAATGTTGCTAACAGTGACACCCTCCATAAATTTCAGCTGACCCAAGGACAGTGAAAAGAAGGGAAATGTGACTGTCAACATGTGGAAAACCCAGAGGAAGAGAATGTATTACCAAAGCAAATTGTGTGGCAAATCTGCTTGTTTGATTGTTCTTAATGACAAAAGTGGATTAGACCTATGGTTTTCTGGAACTCGCATAATGTTGCACCAGAAAGTCAGATGTGAATGTTTTGCCAGAAGTCTATTATGTCTAGCCAGTATTCAGTACCTGGAAGTTCTTGTCACTCTCACCACTGATTGCTCCATTCCCCACTAAGATCACTGTTTAGTGCGTAATGAGGTGAGCGGAAAAATGAACTCACTTTATCACACACGGAAAAGCAATCTGCATGAGTGACAAAGTGATCAAACGACCTCTTTGCCACATGTTCAGATGTGACTCACATTCACTTCTCATGAGATCACAGCATGGGACTCATCGTGATCATGTGACTTGGCCTTCATTTCGTGAGCAACTGGCTAAAGCAGATGACCACACTTACTAGATTAATGGAAAGATCTCCTGTTAGTAGTGAGAGCAAAAGGATGGGAATGGTGTTGGCAGGAGGCATATGTTTTGCCTCTGAATTATGTGTAAAAAAACAAACATGACATTCTTTATAGCAAATATTGTTGGTTGGGATAGAAAAATAGGTATAAAAGGAGAATTTCCTGGATAATTAAAATCCAGGTTTGGGACAGATACTCTTCGGTGAGAGAACCCCAGCAGAGATTTAAAATCTCAAAACATACAGCAAAGTAAAGCATGGACATATAGGCTATTAGACCTTTAAAATATGTCCTTCTAAGTTCCTTCCAAAATTCCCTTCTTTCCTCCGCATAGAAAAAAACACACATTTGGTAAGTTAAAAATAATTTACTTACAAATTCTTCAAAGGTCAGGTTCATGTGCTTTTCCATATAGCAGTCAGAAAACATAGGCTGTAAAACTTACATTAGTTCCAGTGTGGTGAATGTTCCTAAATTATTTGTATAGGAACACAACAATGGCTTTATAAGAAAACTATGTGGTCTGAGCTGGGAGCAACCAGCTCAGACCTCTTTACATGCCTGAGTTCACATGGTAGATGGAGGGGAACAATAGACTTGACTTCCTTTCTCCCAAGGTGCCTAGCTAAGCCTGGTAGGACAGCTTATTCTATGGCATAAACCTGCACGTGCATTAATTAGACTCAAGCATTTCGGTTATATGAGGCTAGTTATCCTACAAATATAATGCTACAATTATCACAACTAGATTAAGATTGTGGGGTTTTCGGTCAGTGATCCCATCATGGCCTGGTTCACACAATACACTTACCTTGTTACCTTTTCTTGTCTTGAGGTGTCTCGTGAGAGTCTGATTATTCTAGACATTTCTAGAGCTAGATTCCCCTAACTTTTCTCTGTTCCACTTGGATGGAAAGTCCCAGCCAAGTTATGAGCTAGTGAAATCTTTCACTTTGCAACAGACCTTCACCCCAACGAAGGAACCACTTGTCACCTTCGCCCCGGCGCAATGTATGTGTGTTACCACAGACCAGAGGTTGGCTGAACTGAAGGAGAGAGTTCAGTGCAGAACCCTATAAACAGGCCCTCACTCCAGCACAGCCACTAGCCCATTTTAATGGCATGCAGCGATCTGAGGACAGAACTGGGCTAACTCCAGGAAGTCCTGAGCCAGTCATTATTTCCAGGAACATAACCCAGAATTAATACAGTAGGAAAAATACATCTAATAAGTCCAACTCTTTCTTCTTTTGCTAACTAAAATAAACATTTTTCTAACCTGTATTGTTTCTGGCTCCATTTTCTTCTCCGCCTCTTGCGAGAGTTTACTTCAAAGTTCCTCGCTGGGTGTTTGGCAGCTCAGGCTTGATCTATGGTGTGACCTAGCAATACACAGCATCCACAGCGCACACCATATAATGCTCTGTAAAGTTCAGCTTTTATTGGAAGTGAGGTTGCATAAATAAACACTCTTACCTTAATGTGCAGTAAAACAGTCTGAGTTGCAAATGTACTGCAGGGTTTGTGTAGTTTAGCATATACTCGAGAAGCAAAGAGAAAGGGGAAATCGTAGACGGGCACCTATTTGACTGTGAGCCTGCCTGAAGTCTGACTGGTACCCTGCGCTTTCTGTGCCATTTCTGATGAAGTCTTGTCACCTATCTGTCTTCTTCTAATATGCTTATCCTAGCACTGTATATTTTTACACGCCTGATCCTACAGACTGCCTTAACCTGCACAAATGCTGCCAGTGTGGTGTAGTGGTTAAGAGCAATAGACTCGTAATCTGGGGAACCGGGTTCGCGTCTCCGCTCCTCCACATGCAGCTGCTGGGTGATCTTGGGCTAGTCACACTTCTCTGAAGTCTCTCAGCCCCACTCACCTCACAGAGTGTTTGTTGTGGGGGAGGAAGGGAAAGGAGAATGTTAGCTGCTTTGAGACTCCTTCGGGTAGTGATAAAGCGGGATATCAAATCCAAACTCTTCTTCTTCTTCTTCTTCTGTGATTCTGTTCCCAGAGAAAGAAGTCATCAGCTTCTGTGCCGGACGTACTACAATGTCATTAACACCTTTCCCTGTTATTATTTATCTATTTATTACCTGCCCTTTACTCCAAGATCCCAGCTCAGGGTCACAACATTAAAACACAAAATTATCAGGAAAAGCTACACGGCTACAAGTTCCTCAGTGAGTCAGCCAAGCATATGCACTGGGGTGGCGGGTGCCTTAAAAATTATTTTTATAGCTTACCGTATTTATTTCATAAAACTTTCCTCTGCATTTAGTGCTTTCAGAACACGCTCATCTATTTTTCAGGCTTCTATGCATTTTTCAGGAATCATTCTTTTTGATGGGAACTACAGCCTGACTTCTGCTACCTATAACACTGGCATTTCAAATGTGAGCGGAATAAAATTTGTATGCTTTAAGATGCTCTCTTGGAGCACCATGCATGCCAAATGTTAGGTAGATTGGACAAAGAGTCCCTATTTGAGATGCAGGTTGTTGTTTTTTGTTTGTTTTTTAAGGGTGACATCCAATAACCTTCACGGTTTTTTTCAGTGTAGGGTTCATGGAGAATTCCAGTGAAAACAGGAGTCAAAATTGCCAGTGTTTCGAGAGTGGATTTCATGCTCCTTAATCAGCTCATAGTGGTGAGGAAGAAATCGAAGTTCCCCCAGAATGTCTGCTTTATATACATTATTTACACAATGGGCCCCACGTGATTGGCTAATTCCAGGATTCACCTGTAGGCCAATCAGGCTGCAGATTCACTTCCACCTGGAGCTGGATTGGGTGGTTCCTGTCGACCAATCAGACTGCTGCATTCTGGACCCTATTGTTCTAGGACCAATCAGACTGCTGCCTTTTGGATCCTATTCAACTCAGTACATAACAGTTTCTTAAGGGTGCTGACCTCACAGAACTACATTTCCCAGCGCCCTTTAACCACCCTTCCCAGAATTCCTCACAACTGTTTGAGTTATAACACTGATTAAAATATACGGTGTATGGAATCATAAAAATGTAGAGTTGGAAGGGACTCCAAGAGGCATCTAGTCCAACCTCCTGCAACGCAGGAAAAGGTGGGACTCACTCTTCCTCCCTGTTTTATCCTCACAACTCCCCTGTGAGGCTGGTTTGATGGAGAGACTGTCTGGCCCAAAGTCACCCCATGAGTTTTATGGAAAAGTAGGGATTTGAACCCTGATCTCCCAAGGTCCTAGTCCAACACTCTAACCACTAGGCCACACTGCCTAATCTGTGGCCTTCCAGGTGTTGCTTAGCTGCAACTCTCAACACCCCTTACGACTGGGCGTGGCTGAGGGCAAATGGCGTCCACAGCTTCTGGAGGCCTTCAAGTTAGCCAACCCTGATGTGTAGCAATGTTTTGTTTTGAAAGAGCTTTCACTCAAGCTAAAATATGGATGTTTGACACAAAAATAGAAAAATAGATGTGACTTACTAGAAATGTACAGGATTGCACTATAAATGCAGGCCACATTCTCCTGTATAACCGGCCAGTAGCCACGGAAAACGCTTGCTTTTGTTAGGTCAGCTCTGGCATTGGTACTAATTCCAGTAAGTGGCTCTTTGTAGTCTCTTCCAAACCATTTAGCATTTCTGCATCAAATATTTGTAGCAGAATGCTTTCATCTGCATGCATCGCCTCATACACAGGAGTGGGCCTTGTACATCTGAGGCACTTTTCTGCTTCCACTGAGACATTGCAATGTCACGGCTGAAATGTTTGAGAGTGAGACGAAGCAGGGATGCCTAACCTGCCTTCTCTCTGATCATCAAGCAGCATGATGAGCTGCCCCAGAAAATACTATGAAAAACAAAACAAAACAAAAGAGCATAATGAAGAACACAGGGTCAAGAAATCACTGAGACAGCAGCCTTTCTCGTTCCATTTTCTACTTCAAGGCTATGCCTACAATAAGGATCCCATTAATGACATACAGACAATATTGCAAAATTACACATTCAAGATGTTATTGGAAAAGCCACACCACAGCTCTCTGTCTCTTCCTCATAATGAAAACTCAACGTTGTTTTAAATTGCTGTTCACAAAACAATAATATCTCTGCATTTTTAACCAAGGGTGTTGGGGGGAGTGTGTATGATTCTGTGTGTATGTGAGGTGAATAATATAAGGGGCTGTATCCAATGCAGTTCAAAAGCACATCAAAGTGCAAGTAGATAAATAGGGACCGCTCCAGTGGGAAGGTAAATGGCGTTTCCTTGCACTGCTCTGGTTCGCCAGAAGCGGCTTAGTCATGCTGGCCACATGACCCACAACCCCAGAGTCGGTCACGACTGGACCTAATGGCCAGGGGTCCCTTTATCTTTATCCAATGCTATTCCTCGTCAGAGTAGACACATTTAAATTAATGACCATGATGAACTGAGGTCTATTAATTTCATTGAGGACGTGAGTGGCGCTGTGGTCTAAAACACTGAGCCTTTTGGGCTTGCTGACCAGAAGGTCAGTGGTTCAAATCCAAGTGATGGAGTGAGCTCCCATTGCTCTGTCCCAGCTCCTGCCAATCTAGCAGTTCGAAAGCACGCTAGTGCAAATAGATAAATAGGTACCACTGTGGTGGGAAGGTAAACAATGTTTCCATGCACTCTGGTTTCCGTCATGGTGTTCCGTTGCGCCAGAAGTGGTTTAGTGATGCTGGCCACATGACACGGAAAACTGTCTGCGGACAAATGCTGGCTCCCTTCAGCCTGAAAGCGAGATGAGCGCTGCAACTACATAGTTGTCTTTGACTGAACTTAACTGTCCAGGGGTCCTTTAAAGGTAAAGGTAAAGGGACCCTTGACCATTAGGTCCAGTTGTGGCCGACTCTGGGGTTGCGGTGCTCATCTCACTTTACTGGCCATGGGAGCCGGCGTACAGCTTCTGGGTCATGTGGCCAGCATGACTAAGCCGCTTCTGGCGAACCAGAGCAGCGCATGGAAACACTGTTTACCTTCCCGCCGGAGCGGTACCTATTTATCTACTTGCACTTTGATGTGCTTTCGAACTGCTAGGTTGGCAGGAGCAGGGACTGAGCAACGGGAGCTTACCCTGTCGCAAGGATTCGAACCGCCGACCTTCTGATCGGCAAACCCTAGGCTCTGTGGTTTAACCCACAGCGCCACCCGCGTCCCCTAGGGGTCTTTACCTTTACCTTATTCATTTCATTGGGTCTCCTCTAGTACTAGAGACAACATAATGTCACACAATACTAGTTTCTGATCCAAAGAAAGTACTGTGGAGCCTCATTTATCTGAGTGGCCTGGAGCAGAAGTGGCTAGACATCAAGTTTGTGGGACCTGCTTTGTTTTTTACTAGACTCCCAAGGTGCACCAGCCAGAGCCAGGTGCAAAATTGTGGTGAGGGGTGAGGACCTGATGCAAAGTGCTGTTTAAAGGAGTTGGGCCAATGATCTCCACTGCAACTTAGGAGTCATAGCCTGTGATGATCACCATATACAAAACTACATCTGAGTTACTTAAGAAAGGGGGGGAAATTTTATTTTGTTTGCCTTAAAAAAAAAAATTTAAGCCCCATCTTATCACACATTTGAAACTAACACATGAACCAACACACACTTGCCCTTCAAAATTCACTATTCTCTGAATTTTGTGGTGTGATTGCCCAACCAAATACCGTGTACAGAAGTGTATGCGTTTGGGAGAAATTTGCATTAAGATGCATATATTAGTGAATACAGCATACAAAAATGGAGAATTGGGAGAAACTGCTTGCACAAAATGTGCACATAAGTCAAAACAGCATATGAGGAAATGGCAAATCGCTGCAGATGTGTGGAGATCTAGATTGGAAAAACGATAAATTGAGAGAAACCAAAACAGGCAGATTAATCCACCCCAAAAGCTAATAGAATTCAGAGATTCTAACACTCTAAAACTAGCCATCAGCGTGGTTAGTAGCAGCTACTTTATAGGAGAAAGGAAACCTTGAACATCCAGTGGTCCTCAGGATTCCTGCAAGGCATCTACTGTGTGTCTACCTGGAATTTGTGGTTGAAGATAGGAGATGGCACATCCATCACATTAAATAGTCCTATTGATTTTTAGTTGCAATTTTTATTGCTTCTTTTATTTCTTATATTGTATTTTATAGAATTACAACTGCTACGACAAGCAGAAAAATCATGAAGTGGTCTGCTAACACCTTCAGCAATTTTCAATGGTCTTTGAGTGGGGGAAGGTTAGGAACCACTGGGGTTGGGAACAGCTGGCTAAACAGCTGGGCCGCAACTCAAAAAGTCTCCAGTTAGGGAGCAGGGCAGGGAACAGCTGCTACCATTACCATCCATAATGAATGGTGGACACCTAATTTAAGAAATGTATTAATCAGGAAACCGGGAAAGTAGCAGAGAACACTTACATGTTCAAAACCTCACTGAAACAAGCAGGGTTGATGGTTTGGGTGCTTTATTTGCAAATGTATGTTTACAAATATTGCTGAGTTATATATTTGTATTTCCACGTTATCCTCCAATCTGAACATTTGGTTACTAGAAAACAATAGAAATGTCGCATGTTGCAGACAGACACCCAGCCGCACAATAAGTAGCTGATGACACATTAGAACACGCCCTTCTCAACAACAAATCAGGCCATGTCAACAGAACTGAATAAGTCAGATGGCTGAGTATTAGTAAGTGCACAAATATTCACATAAACAAAAACAGATTTGAAAAAAAGAAGAAGTCTTTTTGCTGCTGCTGCTGTTGCTGTTGTTGTTGTTCGGAAACAGACAATAATGCACATTCAATTATGTGAAACGACACTCTAGAAATACGGTGGCTGCTGCCAGTGGGGGATTGTGGGAGCTTTGTAAGGGTGCGGTCACTTGCACAATGCCAACAAAAGAGGAAACATTATTCCCCAAAAGGACTACAAAAGATGAGACAGAAATGCTAATGTACATTTAGGGATGCAAATTTAGAAACAATAACTATAGTTCACACAGAAACACAGTGGTACCTCAAGTTACAGACGCTTCAGGTTACAGACGCCGCTAACCCAGAAATAGTACCTCAGGTTAAGAACTTTGCTTCAGGATGAGAACAGAAATTGTGCTCCGGCAGCGCAGCGGCAGTGGGAGGCCCCATTAGCTAAAGCGGTACCTCAGGTTAAGAACAGTTTCAAGTTCAGAACGGACCTCCAGAACGAATTAAGTTCTTAACCTGAGGTACCTCTGTAGAGTAACATCCCACAGGTGACCTGTGTGGCTGCTCAACTGCTGCTGCTGTCCAGGTGATAAATGGTGATAAACGTCTTCAAGGCTCTTGGTACTCTGCCTTCTGATGGTTCCTTCTCTTTAGACTTGACAGCCCTTCAGATACAGGGCTGTCCTCTGACAAATAGGAGCGCCATATTTGTGGATGGCTCAGCAAGCTGTTCTAGGGTCATGTAATGTTTCCAGCCCTGAGGTCAGGTAAGTACCATGGTAAGCATTCCTTTCGTTACAGGCCTGAGGTACAGAGGGACCAGAAGTTTCTTCACCCAGTCCCTTTCTCCCTACCTTGGTGTGTCTTTGCCTTCAGCAGCTCCTTGATGCACAACTTCTTTTCCCCCACCACGACTCAAGGAAGTTCCCGCATCTCCAGGAGCCCTTGTTCCAGCAGCGAACCAGCAGTCCCTGGATCCTAGAGTTGCACCAACGATACCCACCCAAGCAGCAAACTCAGGCCAAGAGCCTAGGTTTCCTGAGAGCTGTATTTGCCATAACAACTGTGCACATGGTAAATACTTTCCAACATTTCTCTGATGAAAACAGGGACATCCTTAGGAAAACTAGGACATTTCATGATTAAATCGGAAACTGGGGCTGCTCCTGTAAATCTGGGACTATCCCTGGAAAATAGGGACACTTGGAGGGTCTGATGGTACTGTTTAGACGCGATAAATGCCTCTCATGTGGCACAAGTACAAAACTCTGCAACATCAGGGCCATCCATACTAAACTGTCTTCTTTTAGCATATGTTCAGTTCCCACTTCAGTATCTGTATGCATTTCAGGACTGCGTCCCCCAACCATCTATGTGTCTTATTCTGCAAAAATTCCACAACATATTCACAACGGATTGGGCATTGTGTGTAGCTTTTCAACAATACCCAAAACCCATTTATATCCAGCTGACTACTGCTGCCACCACCCTCATTCCCAGATGACCCTGCCAGTTTTTTTATTGCTTTTCTCCAGCTAAATCATTGCTATTTAGTTATT